ATTCTGTTCCTCTCCCTAGGCAAGCAGGATGAAGGTCCACTAGTGGGAAAAATATATGCACAATGTTGACCACTTCAGTAACTGGCCCTGGTTGCTGATTATCCCAAAACTGGTGCTGGATGACCAGTGACCTTCCGGTTACCTTGCACACACATGTACTGCAGACCCCCAGTAACTGACCTTAGAGACTGCCAGTACCTGGCCCCTGGATCCTCTCATCTCCAGTTGCCTCAAACAGGCCTCCTGGCTGACCTGTGGACTTATGGCTGCATTGAAACATGGCTCCCAAGCCACTTATCTTACTTGCTGGCTAGTCCAGCTTGATACTCACTAGCCATTACACATTGATACATGTACTGACATATGCATGCACTCTGGTCTCTCCAGCTGCTGGCACCCCAGGCTCAGGGACCCCTCTGTTATGAGGTGCCCACTTCAGTTGCTGGTACTTAGACCTCCATGCACACAGCAGAGTCTCATCACCCAGGAAAATAATTAGCAATAGAGTTTAATGAGAAGATAGGACAGACTGCAGTGATCAGGCATGGTCAGACAAACATCATGGTCTGATGAGCCACCCATTTTCATGTAACTGGCCTCTTTTAGCCCCTGCTCTGTTGTCCCAAGTGTGTTCCTCCCCAAACCACCTTGATCTCTGTGGTGGGTTGACCCTGGTTGCCTGCCAGATGCCCACCCAGCCACTTTCTCACTCCCCTGCCTCAACAGGATACAGGGAGAAAATACGACAAAAAAGCTTGTGGGTTGAGACAAGGACAAGGAGATGGCTCACCAATTACTGTCATGGGCAAAACAGACTCAACTTGGGGAAATGAATTTAATTTATTGCCAATTAATAACAGAGTAGGATAGTGAGAAAAAAAAAACCTGAAAAGTTTTCACCCATTTCCCCTTCTGCCCAGGCTCAGCTGCACTCCTGACTCTTCTACCTCCTTGGCCACCGAGCAGCGCAGGGGGATGGGGAATGGGGGTTGTGGTCTGTTCATAATGCTTCATCTCTGCTGCTCCTGCCACTGTTCCCCTGCTCCAGTGTGGGGTCTCACCCACAGGATACAGTCCTTCCAGAACTGCTCCAAAGTGGGTCTTTCCCACGGGCAGCAGTTCTTCAAGAACTGCTCCAGTGTGGGTCCTTTCCACACAGTAGCCCTTCAGGAATGGACTGCTTCAGTGTGGGTCCCCCATGGGGTCACAGGTCCTGCCAGAAATCCTGCTCCTGTGTGGGCTCCTTTCCACAGGCCGCAGCTCCTGCCAGGAGCCTGCTCCAGCGTGGGCTCTCCATGGGGTCACAGCCTCCTTCAGGGCGCATCCCCCTGCTCCGGCGTGGGGTCCTCCCCAGGCTGCATGTGGATACGTGCTCCACCGTGGACCTCCATGGGCTGCAGGGGCACAGCTGCCTCACCATGGTCTTCATGGGCTGCAGGGGAGTCTCTGCTCCAGTGCCTGGAGCACCCCTTCTCCATCCTTCTTCTCTGGCCTTGCTATCTGCAAGGCTGTCTCTCTCACATTTTTTTCACTCTTTTCTCACAGCTGCTGCACAGCATTTTTTACCCTTTCTTAAATATGTCATCATGGAGGTGCCACCAGCATCAGTGATAGGCTCAGTTCTGGCCAGTGGCAGGGCTGTTTTGGAGCTGGCTGGAGCTGGTTGTCTCCAGCATGGGGCAGCTCCTGATCTCTTCTCACAGCAGCCACACCCGCAGCCTCCTGTTGTCAAAACCTTGCCACATAAACCCAGTAGAATCCCCTTCTGTAGACTCCTCCTGACGTGTGTCCCAACTGGGACACGGGGTGGATGGCTCTCCTGTGACAGCCCTGGAGCAGGGGGCTCTTCCCTCTGATGAGCTTACTGGGATCCCCCGCTGCTCTGCCTCTGGGCTCCCCTGTGCTCCTGGGATGAGCCCTCCATCACACAACCTCACCCAAACTCTAACTATATAACCCTACTAACTGGACAGAGAAAATGAGATAGCTGGCAAGTTATGGGGAACTGCTGAGTGCTATGTAATAACTTCCGGCAACTTCAAGCAGTGCTTTGAAAATTGTTTGTGCTAATTAGCTGTGACCAGCAATTTTTGCATTTTAAACATTAAATGCTCTGTTAAAACAAACTGATCTGTCAGGTAAACATTATTTAGGTCTGCAGACCAAACAAAAGTTACATATTAACTGAATGCCTAACTATTTCCCATTTTTTATTTCAACATTTCTAATATACCAAAGCTTTCCATGACACTCATGAAAAATTATCACAGAAACAATCCTAGTATTTTAACATACTCTTGCTGAATCTTGTGAAGAGAAAAGAAATTAGCAGCAGATTTTCACATTTTCACAGCTTCATTATATACTAAATCCAGTTCCTGAGCTGTAAATACTGGATGAAAGGCGCAGCAGCCAGATGCCTCAGAGACCTGCTGTAAAACAACTGTGCAGTTCAAAATTGTTGAGAAAGTTTTGTTGGCTTAAGTTTCTGCCAGCAGACTTCATGCTGGATTATACAAAGTTTGTGCAGGTCAGGAGTTTTGCTTCATGACCCTTTCACCTCTTCTCCAGTTTCTTTTTTCTTTACTTCTGAGATGGCTATATCAGGATGTCCCCAACTCCCTCTCATTGCAAACTCGGTGCCGGTGCTTTCATCGTGTCTTTGGACAGTCACCACCAGCCATACATCTGGCAACAGGGAGTTTGTCCCTTTGCCTCAGTATTTGGTAACAGCATTGCCAGATAGGTTGTATCTGAACATCCCAGAATATCTCTCTCTATATTCTGTTATGCAAAAGGTGTACTTTATCGCAGTACTCTATTTTGAGAAAATTTCACACAGTGAATCGTAAAACACATGTCAGTTCATATCCACCTTCAATAATACAAATATTAGCCTATAAAGAAAAATTGCATGATATGGTAGATGTACAAGTAACATCTAGAGTTTGAACTACAAGTTAGTGTAGCTACAGATTCCCAAATATTTAAAATGTTTAATAAGAGATAAATATAAAATGTTATAGTATTATGGATATCTCATAATTGTAAATCTCTCTGAAAAGACAAACAGGTTAAAATTAATTTATTTTTTGCTACCGTACTTCACCAGTAAATTGAAGCATTCATTTTAATATTCAATTTATTTAATCTCTGTCATATCCAGGACTTTCTGTATCAAAAGGAAGAGGCTTAACTGGAAATCACTTGTGCCCTTTCTACTATCAACTTTGCAAACAGGCACACTGTAAGTCTGATACTTACTCACTCTTACTATTTTGTTTAGATTAAAAGGCTACATTTTTGTGTATTGTGTCTTAGAGAGGAGTTCTGAACAAAGCCCTTAGAAAGACAGCTGAAAAGTAAATACTAAAAAAACCTCAGCAAATTACTCCTAGCAACAGCGGCAATTCTAACAGTCCAGGTTTTCAGGAGCAGACTCTAGCAAACAACACCTTCACTATGTTTACTGGCAGAAAATCTTCGGCTCAAACTAGAAAAAAGAATGATTCTTTTGATCATTTGTTTGCAATGTGTGCAAAATAAAACTGCGTTGTCCTGTGAGACTTAGATGCTAGAGGTCCCATGCAGCTAGTAGTAAAATGTCATTTCTAAATTACCTTTTTTTTTTAAACACAAAGCAATTATTTGAGATCTCATCATAATGGTGCAATATGAATTAACTAATGGACTGCTCAGAAGTCAGCAATTATGACTCCATTTCTTTCCGTATGTGCAAACAATTTCATGTGTCCTTGTTGTTTCAATGAGGCTATCTTTTCTTAAGAGATATTTTCTTGAGAGAAATAACCTGAAAATCTCAGAGAAAAAAAAAATCACCCAGAAAATGTAAATAAAAACTGGATGCTACTTGAAATTAAGTTTAGTTAAATTTTTCCTATAATTCAAAAATCAGGAATGGGAGAAAGTTTTCAGATGTTAAGAAACAAACAAAAAGATTCAGTGATGAAATGAAAACATCAATTAAAAACAGAAATATAGAATATATGATAGAGAAAAATATTTAGCAAAAATCAAGATAAATGAGAAGTTATAAAGTATAAAAAAATGTTAGACGAATCTAAAACACTAAGGAAAAATTTATGGTGGGAGGCCAGATAGCCAGTAAAGTTACAACATATGAGGGACAAAACAAACCTTATGAATACCACAGGCCCATCAGTAGATATTAACACAGAGATGAAAAGAGTATTAACAATAATAGAGTTCAGTATGTATTTCCATTCTGTTTCCTAATATAAGGAAGAGGATATTTATGAAATTCTCTCTAACTTACTACCTACTGAAGAAGAGGTTTAGCAATGTCTACTCAGCACTAGCTTCATGAAATACTAGACCAGAACACCTTGTACCTGTGATGTCTGGACATGGATGAGGTGTTAATCTTTAATTGATCTTAGAGCGCTGACAAAAATACAGAAGAATGGAAGTAGCTAACATTAGGGATTGCCATACATGTTCACTGTGGCAATAATAAACTTACTCATTATCAAGATATTAATGTTCACTGTTATTTTCTGAAATGAAAAATAAAAGCTGCCTGAATAACAGAAGAATAAATATATATTGTGCCATCTGGAAGTAGATACAATCAGTATGGTATCCATTAGGTACGGTTTTACAAATAGATTATTTAAAGACAGGAAACCACATCAAGAACAGTGGAACAGTCACTATTTTCAAAGAACCATGGTCTTCAGGATGCAAGCTAAAACTATCCAAGACTAACGTTACAAGGAAGGAACAAAGATTCTAAAAACAAAATTAAAAACTGTTATACCAATCTGTGATTATAGACAAGTTGCATGTTTTCTATTTCTGCTTGAACACGTTACAAATTCTGTGTCTGCAACACACACACATATGCACATATATGTGTACATATATATGCACACACATAAGGTATTTATAACCTAGATGGCACTTGCATATCTTAGGTCAGTTATTCACACCCAAGCAAAACTTTAAATCATACTTACCCCAGTATACGGTTCATTCCATGCCTAGCAGCATAATGGAGTGGAGTATTGTGCTGGTACGTTTCTCCGTAAGAAGTATTTGGGTCAAGAGTTTCTTTTAGTTGAGGGTTGCTCTCATAGATTTGGCAGGCCAGGTTCTCATCTCCATTTATAAGAGCTTTGCGGAATTTGGTGGTTGTATTTCCCATGTTGCTATCCTAGCTATCAATGGCACTTTATCCTTTCCCCTTCATCCACTCGTCGTATGGTTCTATAACATGCTTCACAGCCTAAAAAGACAAACAGTATTTCAGTTATTCTGTAAAAAAAGAATTCACCCAGAGGTACAGCACTGTAAGCAGGCATGTGAAGAAGTACATAGGGCCTGTAAACTCTACACATGAATTGCTGAAGTCCTTCTACGTAAATATACACAAAGTCCCAATTCTTCACAGATTATTTCCCTGACAAATTGTGCCATCTCCCTGTGCAAATATTTTCACTACCCATATTCTTTGAACATACAGAAAAAGGAAAAAATGGCCAATGTCCACCTATATTAGAAGACAGGGATAAATACTGAATTTCCATGAATGAGAAGTGAATTAGAAATTAGAAGTGATTTCAAAACACAGTAGAACCAAAGCAAAATTATTAAACAAGGAGGTAAAATTCTTCAAAAGCATTCAAGAAAGCAGACATCAGTTTAACTTTTACTTAAAGAAGATCACGTAAAGCTGTGCTTGCAGCACCTGTGTTTGTGTAGGTGAGTGTAAACAGCACCTTTCTGTGCCAGCAAGATGAATGCACATGAACACAGGGGTTACCATGGCCCCATCTTAAGTTCTGCTAAGCAGACTCTTTAGAACACCTAACCCCATTTTTAAAATGACACTTAGAGATCAACAATGAATGGGTCCATACAATGCCAGGCATTATACTGGCACAAACCAACTTCACTTTACAAGTGTTTCAAAGTACTTGCCAACTGCTATGCTCCACAGCCTCCCACCTTCACCTGATGGAGGGGACCACCAGAGCTGCATAAAGACAGGGCAGAAAGAGCATCTCCGCTTGTGAGATGGGACAAGAGAAGCTTATCAGGTCGTGCAGTCAGAAAGAGCACATGCTGGTTTATGTCAGAGGGACAGACAGGGGACTCGGCACCAGGCTGCAGCTGGCAGCACAGTGAACATTCTCGGAGGTCTCTTTTGTGCATGAGTCATCCCATCCAGAGTGCTCCATGCCAGACCTTTCACCCCACAAAGCACACACTGGGATCCAAATATGCCAGGCACAGCACGTTAGGAAACTGAGACTGATTATGTTGTGCACATTTAATCAGGCAGGGCAGGAACTGCTTCTTGCCCAGTACCTTATATTCAACTTGTTGGGACTATCTTAAAACTTCTATTTCTTCACTGGCTTTCCAGCACACTTACCGGTGCCCAGACAGCCTTACAGACAGAAGAAATAGAGGAATCGAAGGGGTCTAGAGCTGCAGAAAATCCAAGGGAATCAGGATGCAGATGCAATTCATGTGAAAAGGATTTGGGGAAACCTGGGGAAGAGCTGCAATGAGATACTTTTGTTTCCCCTGAGTAGTCCTCTCATGAGCTGCTTTCAGCTACTGTTTTGAACTTATGTGTCAAGTCGCATCCCAGTCTTGCTATAGATTTGCTCATATCCCATTCTGCATGAGATCCTACCAGTGGGAGTCTTGCACTGTCTCCTCTCTACAGTTCCTCTGAGAAGTCATTTCATGAAGGGGAGGGAGGAGACCATTTCCATTGTGACCTCACCAGTGCCATCAGGGCTGTTCGAGAAGGACAGAGGTAGCCTTGGTGGCCTCCATTTTCACCCCCTTTTCCTACAAAACCTTGGTGAGGCCACCTTTATTTTGGAGTTGTTTTGTCCTACCTTTTGATGTCATTGTGTGAGACAACAGTGACACCACCGAATCAGCTGACTCAACATGCTAAATATGTTCTCCACTGTGACCAGTTGCCTAACAAGCAGCTGTGTTAAGCAGCCGAAAGTTTCTCATAACAGTAATAAAGTAGGCACTCACCTAAAAGCAAATGCACACCCTTCATATGTTTAGTTACATACACAAACCAAAGCCCAGGTTCTTCAATCACGCTAAGGATTCTGCAGCATTTTGTATCCTTCCATCATCTCTATATTTTAAAATATAAACATGCAGATACTATGCAGACATAATATTTATATTCTTCAAGAAAGCCACTGCATGTTCACAGTACCATGTCACAGCTCTCAGTGCTGTAGATTAATGTGTTTTCAGATGCAAAAACAGCTGCATTACTCTAAATATTGGATAGTTTCAGGCTTTAGTGAAAGACTGTGCAAAATCAAGGAAAAGTCTACAGTCTTTTCAATCAACCAGCAGTTCGTATTACCTTCAACAACTAGGATCTCAAAAATAACTTGAAAGAATGATTTTCAGTAAAGTTTGTTAACGCGATTAGTCTATGGTATTAAATTATCTGTCAATCTCTATCCACCACCAATAGCTCTCGAGACTATAAACTAAATTAGACAAGAACAAGTGCCTGAAAGATATCACATTCCTAGAATCTTCATGAAAATCAATAATGAAGATCCCACTAGTGCCCATAACGAGAAGAAAACCACAAAACCTTCTTCTATCATTTGAAATTAGAAGTTAATAGCACCAATTGCCATGCACTTATTTCTGAAAATTAGCACACAGATAGCTTGCGTCAGCTGCAGAACATGCTGCCTCTTGCCCAAAACTGGAACATTAAACAAACCTGGGTAGGGATGCGAGAGGGTTTTGAGAGTAAAGGACATAAGATGGTGCCCTCAGGCAGTCTGAGAGGAAGCTGCGGCAGGGTGGTACTGTTGCGATGTTGAAGAGGAGACCTGAATAGATTTAGGCAGGGGTCTGGAAATGCATGGGAGAACTGAGGGTCTGGGTAGGGTGGCTCTACAGAACTAAAAAGCTCAAGTTATTGCAGTGCAGAAAATACAAAATTTGTAAATTTCATTAATTCTATTGCACACTGAACAATATTTATTTTTGATGGTGTATGGATATATTAGATGGTAGCACAGTCTTCAACAACTAAAAATATAAAAGACATAGGCACATTTCTTGAACTACTATGTACATTATCATAACATCTGGGAATTTTAGGAATATCCAGCATGTACTGTATAAGTCACTGAACAAAACAGTGACATCTGCTTCCATAAAAAAAGCTTACAGCCTGTGTGCACAATAAAGGGTTATATATGATACAGACATGATCTAGAAAGGTGAATGAAATAAAAAGAGTAGAATACTTGTCTGCATAACAGGACCACCCTCCAAATGAAAAGATTCTCAGTCAAAGGAAAGGGAGAATTTGAAGAAGCATTATGAAACAGAGCAACAACGTGGCTTTCAACAGACACAAGTGAAACTCACTGAAAAACCAAGAATCAGCATAGAGGTATTGAAGATTTAGCAAATGGCTGATGTAACTGTAATTATGACATTGTCAAAATAAAATGAAAGATGATAGAATGGGGATAGTCCATGAAAGCCCTTCAAATGAAGGCAAACAGCTTATATTTGGTGTGACAGCAAGAAACCAACCTCTGGAAGAATGCAAGGAGAGAAGTGAAAGGGTCAAAAGTAACCCAAAACCCAATTCCCTACTTAAGTACATGATATGAGAAAATGTACTAATGTCTTTCACTTTCATACAGTATCCACAAGGTCCTTCATCTTTAACACTAGGACAGGCATTAGCCTTCCATGCTTTGGAAATCTGGTGGGCCACGCTGTAGTTTTCTTTTCTGAATTAGCCATTAAACATGCCAGCAGAAATAGAGAGAGACAGGGGAGAAGCTGCCTCTGTACCCTGGCAGTAACAGTTGGCTCCCAGCCTGTTTGGAAGTCCAGAAGAAACCAAGATGTGACAGCTGCTGTCTCTCTCAAGCTGCTGTGGCTCATGAGTGCCCTGCTGTAAAATATTCAAGATCTGCCCATTTGCAGTCTTCAGTTCATCCTTCAGCTAACAGACCAACTGCATCTACCACCAAAGAAGCCTTTACTTCAATTGAAGGATAAAAAGGACAAAATAGGAGATGATGCAACAAAGTTCTGGATCTGAAAATGGCTGAAAGAGGCCCAATCTGCCTTCTTTTTGTCTTGTTTTTTCCCATTAAGAGCTTCCAACCCGTTATGTGCCCTCAGAGGACAGTAAGCTAACAAGGCCAATGCTGAAACCAGGCAGTGATTCACAGAAAGGGAACTTGGTTCGCTTTTTCAACCTTCGCTTTGTGTTTTTGAAGGTGAAGGGCATGTAACATATATTTCCTCCTGAAAGGGGGGAAGTGGGTGGCAGGGAAGGGGCCTGGAAGGTTCAGCCGGTCTACAACCTCAGGGACCTGGAGAGCTCCCATGGGCTGAATAACAGGGGTTGCTAAAGCAGTTTCAGCAGCTCCCAGGCTTGCATGGCCAGTGTGCAGTGTCAGTGTCACTGGTCTTGCCTTGCTGTTTGTATGAGCCCAGCATTTAAAATCCTTAGGCTATTTTTTAACGTGCTGTATTACAAAAAACGTCACAGTGGAACAAAAACAACAACATAAAAAGTACAGTTTTCAAGTATTCTAGCTTAAGAAAATGAGACTTGAATAGAATTTTACAGGCCAAAGAAAAGATATTTGTTTGGTAGGCAGACCAAGTCACTAAATTTTCAAGTTCTGTGATAATAGAAGCCTTTACCATAACCTCATAACATTTATCATAACCACAAATATCATAACCTTTTACACCAAAGAATACAGGAAAAACTAAATGCAATGTTTGCTAATTATATCTCATATATATCAGAATTCCAAACATCAACCGTCTCAGTCAAAATTAGAAACTGTATTTACTATTCTACTATTCCCAAATAAAACTTCCAGCTTAAACAAAAAACCCAGAATACTGGTTACACAACCCACCTTAAAGTCTAAGGAAAGATTCTTAAAAACTCAGTCGGGGGAATCACACTTCCCTGCTTTGGCAATGAACAGTAAAACTTCTATGGGCATATTAGCAACACTGCTAAAAGCAGCACTTTGATATCATGGCTCTATAAATATTTAACAAAGAGATGGTCACTCTCATAGGAGCTTTAAGACTGAGTACAAGATGAAAAAAAGGTGGATACAGAAAGATATGGGTAGAGCAAGGTAACAATGAGATTTTGAGAGCAGTTGCACCAGCCGCCCAATTATTATTGATTTTTCCATGGGCATCATCACAGAA